GATGACCACAAGGAGAGGGGACAGTGGTGTGTCAGCCCCAGTACCACGGAACTGCTCACATGGCGTCCACGCTAGAGCAGTGAGATGCAGAAGGTATTCAGGAGGCTGAGAAGGTTCCACACAGGAGGCTCTTTTGAGCCAGACTTATGTGCTGAGAGTGGGAAGAAGAAATTCCATCTGCACAGGCACAGAGGTGTGAAAAAGGATGTTAAATTCGGAGAAATATAAATTCTGAACAGCTAAAACATAAACTTCGAATGAGCGTGTGTCAGGATCGTGATTGGTAAGGAAGAGATGCTCAGCTCAGGGAGGGTCTTCTCTGTCACACAGAGGAGGTGAGACTTCACCCGCAGCCACAGCAGAGCATCCTGCAGCGAATGGCTCGTATACTGAATGCTGGAAAGCACTCGGGTTCAAGCAAGAAATGGGTAAAGCCTAGAATCAGGAGCTTCAAGTGACAGGATGTCACTTTCTACCAGAGCAACCTGGAGCGAGTAACTGGATTTCTCCAAGGCTCATCTTCTGAGAAATGGGGTTGCTCAAAGGATCAAGTAGCAGAATACACGGGAGAGGTACTTTAAGACAGCCAATGCCTCCTCAGGGCTAGTCTGATCTTCCTACTATCCTCTGAAATTCCCCACACGCCGGCCCCTAGGCTGACCCTTGCTGTCCCCCACCCCTCCTTGACACTTTTTCGCAGGACAGAGGAGCCCCTACTGGTCACAGAGAAGTCTGGTCACAGACTGCATTTCAATCCTTTTCATCTGGAGTCAGGCAACTCTTCAGAGCTTTGCATTTTACAGAGTAAAATTTCAACACTGTCTCAAGTACTTTGTGAAAAATGCCACAGGACAGAGGACGGGCACAGTGATGCTTCAGGACCTGTGCTATTCTACTCCCTTTGTCTGGAAGGCTCTTCCCTCCTCTTCCTGGCGCTGCTCTCCTCTTTGTCCTGCTCAAAAGTCACTTTCTCAATTGAGGCCTTTCCTGAGCCTGTTTAAATTGTGCTCTTCACAGACACACACATACACACACACTTCTTACTCTTTTTTGCTTTTTGTTTTCATAGCTCTTATCCCCATTTAACAGAGTATATATTTTATTTACTTATTTTGTTGATGGTGTCCTTTCCTCAACGGAACCTAAGTCCAAGAAGGGCAAGGGTTCTTATGTGTCTTGTGCACTTGGGTTTCCCCAGGATCTAGAACATTGCCTGGCAGAGTGTAATCACCTGATAAATACCTGAGCGCACGTGCGCACGCGCGCACACACACAATTCAACCATTTCACGTACTGAAGAATTATGCATTACTTTTCAGTAATCTACCCAGTGAAGATTTATTCACTCCCTTTTATTATCCAGGTCCTGCTCTAAGCATTGGGAAAAACAATAAATACCATTGAGACACTGGCCTCAAAGAGCTCATTATCTAGTGAGACGAAAGATATATATACATATACGCAAACCAAGAGGGACACGCAGACCTTGCCGGGACAACAGGAAATCACGGAGGGAGTCGAGGCACAAGGCAGGATGACCAGATCTCCATTTGGGAAACACTGCTCTGGCAGACGTTTGGGAAAAGATACAACACTGACGAAAATGAAGACGGGGTGGTGTTTATGCGACTGTTACAGTGCTCCAGGTGAAGGACCACGGAGCCCGGACACTGAATTAATTTGAGGACATCGGGCAGAGGGAAGAAAAACAACTGGCAAGGTATTCGATCTCTCCCACTCCCTTTTAACACATCGATCTGGAAGAATTTCAGAACATCTTTGCATCTTGATATTAAAACAAATCACGGATACTTCTAACTCTTCAGCTCACCTTTCCGACTACCAACCAACCAAATACTTTCCAGACTTGCCAACAAGCCCCTGGAGAATGAGGTGGCCCGTAAGCCGGCCAGGTGCTGTCCTAACGCTCCGGGAGGGCACAGCTGCTTCTGTCTGCAGCAGCCGAGAAGGCAGAAATCGGGTGTTGAGGCATCACCACTGGGCCACGTGGACTTTGCCGTTCCTGTTCCCACGAGGATCTACGGCTGTTCCTGAAGAGACGACTGTGAACAGCAGCTGCCTCGGGCTCCTGGGCCCCGAAACAGAGAGGAGCAGGAACCAGGGTCAGGAGCCATGCCACAGCGTGGGTGAACCGTCTGCCAGCCAAGAACAGAGGCCCAGGGCTAGGGCAAGACAACAGAGCTCCGAGGGCCGCCTCCACAGGAAACGATAGTTTGACAGGAAACCGGTGACGGGAACAAGGCCCAGAGTGGAAGGGCGCCAGGTGACACAAGTTGGAAGGAAGTTACAGAAACTGGGGGCAAGGGTAAAAAGGGGCAAGAATCAAGTCTCACTATTCTTCTCACGGTGATGCCAGGCTCCCGGTCGTTCACACTGGGCACTTAATAAATGCTGGATCGATGGAAGGATACACAAAATGTAGGATCTGGAAATTAAAGGTCTGCACTTCAACTCAGTGAAAAGAACTGCTGGAAACACAGAGGAAACCACGATGGAAGCACCTTTACTTCCAACCGGAGGTCTCCATGTTCTTTGTCTCCTCCCCAGGATGCGGTGGGGAGATCTTAAGTGGGGCTCCGCGTGGAGTGACTGCAGGGTCTGAAGAAAGAAACAGTGACTGCCAGATATCAACGTTGGGGAGGGATTGAATGGTTTTCTCCTAACTCACCTCTCTCACAAGCAGGACACGGATGTGAGGACTTTTAATTTTTGGCACAAAATAATTCACTATCAGGGAAAACAGGAAAAATACAGGTTGTGGTAGAATTTTCCTCCAAGAAGACTACTTTAAGATTTTTAAGACATGTAACTGAAGACTGGGCCAGAAATGTGGCTCTCCAGCCAGCTCTTTGGTCCTTACGGGCCCGGCGAGTGGTCTGTGGCGCACCGGCCTGTGGCTCTCCTGCGCGGCCCCTCCCATCCCACGCATGGAACTGTCTTCTCTGCGTTTATAGTAAGTGGCGGGGTCACGGGCGTCAGGCAGCCGTATTCGTCTTTTCATCTTAACGCTCAGAGCCCATGGCACGCACGAGGTGCCCAGATGACTGACCCTTTAATGCTCTGGATTCATGGAAAGTGCAGCACAGGGTGCTCTTCATACAGACAACATACTCGGGAACAAAGGAGGGAGATCCCACTTCAGCACCTGGATCCCGCGCCAATGACGCCCACTTAGAAACTGCAGTCAAGTGCCTTCTGAGGACATAATTGACTTGTGTTTGTAACAAGGCACGATGCTTTTGGTCAAAGTAAAGCTTCATTGTGTTTCAACATGCTTGGTGTTCCGGAGTAAATTATTTGTTGCTTATGTATGTACACAGCACTAATGAAAGACAGACACCAGGAAACCTGCCGTGAACATTCTCTGCCGCCATCTAATATAACAAAGACAGTTAAGTACGCTGTTCTAGAAGGAAACTCGCCACACTTCCACCTGTAAGATCACTTCTTTCCCTCAGTTTACAACACAGTTCAATTTCTTTTTATTTTTTAGTAGTTCAATTTCTTATTTTGCATAGAAACACACCTGAGACATTAAAAAAAAAGCAAAGGAAAATTACTAGAGCATGGAATAAAGTCACTGTACAAAGCCCTAGCTATCAAAGCCAAAATATATATACATATATATATATATATATATATGTATATATTCAGAATCTCCAAAATAAAGTAATATATTAAGTAGCTAAAAAGAAGAAAACATTCCTTACTTGGCCAAATATCATCATGATAAAACTATGCCTGAGGCCAGTACCGGTCTAATAATACTGCGCCCTTGCAAGATTAACGTGTGTTCTAGATGGTCTCCCTCTTACTCTTTTTGAAGAAAAATTGATGAATGAGAGCCATAAATTTTTGCCACGAAGGGAATGGTTTCATGTACTTATAGATTCATAGAAACGTTTTGGAAGGCTGAGGCAGCTAGAACTTTGAAACACACTTGGGTTGTGAAATTACTTCTTTATAGTGTGCTCTGAAGTCAGGAGAGAAGAATCCAGTCACGGAATTTGACCTTTTATTTGTACACGTAGTGGATTTGAAAGTCTGATCTATTTGCTCATCTGCTCTTAAAGTAGTAATTCTCTTAAAAATACTCCAGCACAGTGGTGCCTGAGTGTCTCAGTGAGTCAGGCGTCTGACTTTGGCTCAGGTCATGGTCTCACTGCTCATGGGTTCAAGCCCTGCATTGGGCTCTGTGCTGACAGCTCAGAGCCTGGAGCCTGCTTCAGATTCTGTGTCTCCTTCTCTCTCTGCCCCTCCCCACTTGTGCTCTGTCTCTCTCTCTCTCAAATACAAATAAACATTTAAAAAAAACACCCCAGTACAAAAAAAAAAAAAAAAAAAAAAAAAAGATAATTTCCCAAGGCTGATAACTACAACTGGTATATATACAAGTAAACCTGGAGGGCTTTGATTTTCCAGTCACATCTGTAATACGTCCATGTCCAGAAAAAAATGCACACATAACTTGAGGCCACACTTCGTAAGTGAAATAAAAGTTGTTTGGAGGTTGGTGGCAAGTAGCGGTAACATGTTGCAACATTTCATCTGCACAGTAACTACTCTCGTATATCTGGCTTACAAATAAATAAAAGTACAGCACTGCTCAAACAACTGCACTGCTGACTGTCCTAAATTAGGGACATCTTCTTTTGGGCAGTGAACTAAACACTCCATTCTCCATTTCTCTGCTCCAACTACTTTAACCTTTCCTAAGAAATTGTAAAGTAAAATAAATGACAGCAAAGTTGTGGGAAGAATCAGCATTCACAGTAAACATTAGAAACGATCTCTTGCGATGCCTGGAAAAGTTGCCACGTCCAACCCAGGAAAAGCCAAGTCCCCGTCAGCCACTGGGAGGGCATTCCAGACACAAAGCGCATCAGTCCCTCCACAGAGGGAAACATGAGTTTTAACCATGTTAGACAAGCTTTAACTCAACTCTGCTTGCTCATAAGGTGGAAACGTTGAGGACTCACCCTGTAAAGAGGATGGCACTTGTCCCTGAAACATGGAGCCAGTCGAGCATAGATCTGGAGGCTGTAGTAATACGCTGCCAGCTGGAGGGACAGAGCAGAGTGGGCCTGCTTTTCAAAGCACTTGTTGGCATCTAACACCTAGAAAGGAACATGACAGCATGAACTCAGCTGAAAGGAAATTAAGAAAATCACCATAAACCATTCCATTTCTAGTCATCACTATAGAATTTATGTTCAAAGTTTCCATCGTATCAGCGCAAGCTCACGCTCAACTGAATAGGACGATATTAAAATTCAGAAGACACCATGAAGGCAGAGCCTATGCACGGAGAGGCAGATTCTGAAACAAACACTTCAGCTACAATTGTAGCATCTGCTCTCTGAATACTGATGCCACAGTCCTTCCAGCACAGGAGAACAATCAGAAGGAAGTGAAACATGTAATGAACAATTTATTGGTGAAAAATCCCCAGTAGGGATTTTTTTGTTTGCTTATGAAATCCTTTCCTGGGAATGGTAAACTCACCTGTGGCAAAGCAAGGAGATATGCAAGAGCCAAGGTCATGTCACTTGGTAAAGCATCGCTTGCCAGCTGCAAGAGAACTGAAGGAGGGGAAATGCATGGTGTTACTTGAAGGTCGATCTATAGCACATTCACGGTTACTAAGTGCCACTTTTGTAGACCAAGCTTGAAAGCAATCTTTGAGACCTTTCACAAATGTCTACGCAAACCATCTAAATACAGATCATATGAAAGTATGTTATTAAATAATACTCTTGCCTTAACTCAGACAAACTGTGCTATTTATTACATTTTTAGATAGGAGAACATTCTGTTAGTGCAGGTACAAAGTCTAAGTGCAAACAGATCAGTGAGGATGGTTTCTTAACAGCTAATCTCTTGGTTATAAAGACCCCGGCTGTGCTATAAAATTATATGTATCAATGACGGCTAATATTGTAAGTATATGAGCACTAAAGATGAAAGAAAAAAAAAGCTACGTGAGTGCAAATTTAGGATAAATCTTTTGCTTACTACAATGAACAGGTTTTATTCTTTCCAAGAACGTCCCTCTTCATCCCACTCTACAAAAAGCCCTTGCTTTGATTATATAGTATCTTAAAATATCCCAACTACTAACACCTTTTCCACAAAATTTTTTATACAAGCAACAACCTATCAGTCTCGTGGCTTTAATAAATGAGAGCACACTGCCAACAAAGTCTGTGTTTATGTGCGGTTTGTATTAATAAGGGAATATTCCGTTCATTTAGGGTCTTAGTGACAAATACCAGGTAGTCATATGTAATCACAATGTAAATCCTTTCTTTTTAAAGAGCACAGAATCTCATGATCTGCACTAATGAAGGAGAACTGTTATGTGAATAATCCAAAGTAAATGATATTTGACTTTGGAAATACACCATATATTATTTTTCCAGAAGATTTACCTTCCTAATTGTGTCTCACTTGAATTAAAATACAAGTCATTTATATAATCTGAGCTTAGCTAACAGTCTGGGCAATGAGACACTGGTGAGGCGAGGAACCATCTACAAGAAGGTGAATCGTCAAAAGCGGACTTAGAACACAAAATCTCCCGTGGATGATGGATGGGGGATCTGAGCTTTCTCTGCTGTGCCTTACAGAAGAATGTGGGTTCTCTAAATACTCATTTCCTCTGTATTCTCCAAACGTATACACCAAATTGGACCACCAGTCAGCCTCAGGATTTCCAAGAAATTGCACTATTTTAGAGAGGTTTTCTACTCAAAAGCTACTCATCTCAAGGCCCATCTGCAAATTCATTCCTTCACTCCATGTCAATGAGAATCTTCTCTGAACCAGACATTGCCCTAAGAATCAGTCTCTGCCCTTTGGGATAAACACACTAGGACAAAAGAGAGTCTCCAAATAAATATTAAAAAATATAGTGCAAAGAGCCCAAATCAAATTTTCTACAAATAATTATGAGAGCAAAGAAGAAACAGTATTGGGGTGTGTGTTTCTGGAACGCTATCAAAACCGGAAGCTGGAGAGGTTAGCTGTATCTTTGGGACACCAGGAGATAATGCAAGAAAAATCATGTAAGTTTAAGCTGCAGAACATTCTGCACAATATGTGGAAAATTTACTTAGTGTCTAGAAACTGCATAGTGTACACACACACATGCATAAAACCCCTGGGTGACCATTTTGACTTCTATCTGCCTTATATATTCTACCATTTGATGCCTCCCTAATAGTCTTTCAGGATCCATAGTTTGGATGGAAAAAAAGTCCAGTAGTTTCACATACTAGTAATTTTTCCTTTTTCATTTCCTTTCTTATATTCTTATAAAGTGACCTGCAATCCCACCTAGTTTTTGTCCACTCCCATTCTGTTTTCAGATACTTCCCTTCTTTGTGCACAAGAGAAGCCTATTTTCAAATAAACATATCTGAACCCATTTATCAAATTTAGCCCAGTCTCCTCAAAGTCCAGGGGCTTTTATTCAGGTGAGTGGTTATTGCTCTGGCTATTGAAGGACCATCCCTCTTAGAGTTGTGATTGGGAGCAATCTGGGAATATCAGTTCCATTACTATCTTCCAGTCAGATCTATTTTTTTTTAAATCATATCACTGACTTAACCTTTCACTCCACTTAACGTGCATTTGTCTGTATCCCAAAACCAAAGCACCCTCAAGTGATGAAAACACTCCAGAAGATCTTCCAGTGAATATGCTTCAGACCCTGAAGGAAATTCCCAAACAAGAACAACCCAACAACAAACTGAAACAACAATAAAATGAATGATTGACAACATAATTGAAATAAATGCCTAGTCCTCAGGAAAGTCCATTCAAGAAGAAGATCTTCACCTGAACATCTAAATTCCAGTAGTTTTATTTTTAAAAGTTATACTATTTCAAAGATACAACTGACAAGATGATCTCTAGTATTTCTTGAACATATACAGTTGAATACAAAGCTTATTATAGAAGGAAAGAGAAAAGAAATGGTTCATTTCCATGAGCTCAAAGTATGGCAAAAATCCCCCTCAGGAAAAAGTCCAAAGAATCATCATTGTTACTTTTACCCGTAACAATAATCACCCTAAAATATAAATGTTTGCTTCAAGTGAATAATAGCCACATAGATTTTATTTCACATACACAAATGTGTTAATCTTTTTTTTTTTTTCCCTGTATCTTATGATGCTTTGACATTCTGGGTGTTTGATAATCCTGGAAAGACGGTCCTTCCCAGAGCTAGAAAATTCCTAAAGATAGTAAACAAATTGCCTGTGAGCACACCTCTGATATGCAAACCAACCAATCCAGAGCCAATACTCTGAACCACTTTCTCTCCAGCGGCTTTTATATTCCTCCACTCTAACCACCCCACGGCCAGGTACTGGACAACTAGAGAAAACTACAGCCTGGAGTCTTACAAAATTATTCAAACAATCTATTTTAGGCTCAATCAAGTTTGCCTACAACCCCTCCCCTATTCGTTCCCATGGAAAGCTCAAGAAAGGTGTCTGCCCAGGCTTTCTCCTCACGCTTCTGCTGCCTCTGCCTCCGACTCCACGCTGACCCAAGTGTTCCCCCATGCTAAGAAGGAGAGCTGGCAAGAGCAGATTTAAAAAAAAAAAAAAAAAAAAAAAGGCCAGCCATGGGGCGCCTGGGTGGCTCAGTCGGTTAAGTGTCCAACTTTGGCTCAGGTCATGATCTTACAGTTCGTGGGTTCGAGACCCACGTCAGGCTCTGTGCTGACAGCTAGCTCAGAGCCTGGAGCCTGCTTCAGATTCTGTACCTCCCTCTCTCTCTCTCTGACCCTCCCCTGATCATGCTGTCTCTCTCTCTCTCACACACACAAATAAAAACAGTAAAAAACAAACAAATAAACAAAAAAGGCCAGACAGACAGAAAAAGACAGATACCATATGCTTTCACTTACAGGAGAATTAGGAGAAACTTAACAGAGGACCATGGGGGAGGAGAAGGGGAAAAAATAGTTGGGGAGAGGGAGGGAGGCAAACCATGAGGGACTCTTGAATACTGAGAAAAAACTGAGGGCTGATGGGGATGGGGGGAGAGGGGAAGGGCGGTGATGGGCATGGAGGAGGGCACTTGGGATGAGCACTGGGTGTTATATGGAATCCAACTTGATAATAAACTATGAAAGAAAAAGTAAGTAAATAAATTTAGCCATTTTAATTTAAAAAGAAAAAAAGAAAAAAAAAAGGCCAGCCAGATGTCCGAGGCCAGATACTCCCCTTGAATGCTTTTGGCTTCTGTAATCCTGCTTGCCTCTTACATCAGCCAACTGCCCGAGCAGCACAACTGATAATGCCCGCCTCCACCCTGTGTGGCCAATAGAAAGTTTCCAAGTACCCAGAAGCTAGCCAGGCATAAAAGGTGGCTAAGGCTCTGGGCTCAGCCTTTGGCGGTGACTCCGCTTGGCTGATATCGATGCAAAATTAACAGGTCTTTTCTGATTCCCCAAGTGCATGTCACTTGTCTCTTCCTGGGTACCGAGTATTTGCTGTAACAACGGGGCCCTGGGTGGCCTGTCTAGGGATCTGCGAGTATAAACTTCCTTCATGACCATCATTTCCATGTCTGGGTGTCTTACCACACCTAAATAAAACCATAATCCCAGGTACATTTTAGAACTAAAACAGCACCTATAAACTATAAAACCAGGAAGAATGGTACAGTGAGTTGGAAGCCATCTTCAGAAATAGAACTCAGACCCACCACTGATTTATTACATTACTCTGTGTCCCAGAACTCAAAATGTTTTGGACTTTCAGGAAGTTATGCTAGAAATATATTACATATGATATGATACCTTCAGCACGGTCTGAGAGCACCCAAAATCAAAGACGTTAACATTTCTGCTGTAAAACATTTGAATGCTCACACTAAATGAGATAAAGCAAAGATTAAATAACCTCATGTCAGTTTAATTCAGGTTTTGATGCCAAACAAGTTACAAAAAGTTCTTTTGGTTTTTAAAGCATTTTGGATTTTAGATCAGAGCCTTAATTTTCAGCGCGTATCATCATCTCTTTAGCATACAGAAAGCACCTAGAAATCCCCTCTTCCCGCCCCACACCAAAAACTACAGACTTGAGGAAACAAATGATTTTCTTCAGTTAGGACACTTTGTGATTCCCACCCCCCCCCCCCAAAAAAAAAGACAGATAATAGGTTCTTCCATTAATAACTGCCAGAGCTGTAACAGGTAATTACGTCCATTTCATATAAATCATAACTATTAATGAGTTAGCTCCTGCATCAAGTGTGTAGACGGACTGCAGCAGGCTGACAAGAGCGGACCTAACCACACCTGAGTAGTGACGCACTTCTGCCGCATCCTCACTGTCATTCAGCCTCAGCCTCTTCTCGCTGGGCGCCCGACCCTTACTTAGTGACTCCTCCCAACCTCTCTGTGGAAGAAGTTAGCGGTTTTCCTCACCAGCAAAGGGGATTTGGAATCACAGAAAGTCCCTTTCTACTGGTCCTGTGCCAACACATAAATAAATCACACCAGTCTTGGGAAAAAAGGCGCTGACACGCGGTCCCTCCTTGGCTTTCAGGGTCACAGGCT